AGTAGCCTTGGCAAACACGACATTTTCTAAGTCCATTTGGGAACGACAGAACTCTGAAAACACACAACTCCCGTCTATAGCCCTCTCATTTTTACTCTGTTATACTAAGCCTTCCCCTTTCTAAACACCCTCACAAATTTAGCATTTTTACAGTGCCTACATGTCTACTCAGCCCTATTGCTTTCAATGGGACTTCTGTGAACGTGCTTGTCGCATTGAAGCCTTAATTCTGTTTTCTGTTGCTGCCACCTTCCATTCAGTTTTACAAAACTGATGAATTAGATGTACAGTCAGTGATAGTATCAGGGTTCCAGACTGGAACCAGGGTTTTGGGGGTAATCTCTGGAATTTATTTCAGTCTCTAAAAATGTGGCGGCTGCTATTAAAATTAAGCATTGGGACAAGCTACCTATTGGAACCATCTTTCTTTTAGAGTGCCATAAAAATGCCCAACAAGCTTCTGTTGGTGGTTTTCTAATGCAGTATGTACTCCCACAGAGAGAGCAATTTGAATGGATTAGGAGTGCCAGTGTTTGTATAATTAGCTGTCTAATCTCCAGACCACTGCCCAGGAGCTAGACCTGTACTGTACTTTGCAGAACAGAAGTTTTAGGCAATTAAGCAGTAGCAGAGGTTCCTGACTTGGGTGGGAGAGCTGAGGAACAAATGTGCATCTCAAAAAATCTCCTCCAGAGACAGATTGGCTGTGTTCTTTTGCCCTTCTGGAAAATACATTGGATAGCAATACAATGAAACAAATATTAAAAATGCACAGACTCTTATTGTTTCTGAGCAACTAATGGCACAGGGATTAAAACTGTATGAATACATATAATTTTTTTAAAGTGTGGAATTATCTCTAGCTGTCACAATGTTTGAAAGCAATTTTATGTTCTTTGTAAGTAAACCTCTAGGCAAAAAAGTTATGACTTCTTGTTTCAAATTTGGTAGGGCCAGGAGATAAAAGTGCTTTGTAGGCCACATCTGGCTCAAGGATTACCAGTTGGCAATCTCTGGGCTAGATTATCCACTTTGTTGTTTCCAACTCTAAGATTTGATGACAGCCATTTTGCTGCTGTTTCCTTTAGGGTAACTAATTATGCAGTGCACGGGCATCATTTTTCCCTAGCTGCTGAACATGTTGCTGGCTCTGGCACAATTCCATTGAAAACAATGCAGCGACACACCAGAGGATCAGAGGAAAGCCATGAAATACAGATGTTGCAGAGAAGCCCCTCTGACGTAGGCGTTCCAACCCCAAGATCCATGCAGCCTGTTCTGGATTTTCTGCCTTTGGCACATGCGGTAGGAACATTTCCAAGACTTTCTGGGCAATCATTTGGAATGGAAATGAAAGATAAGTTTTTAAGGACTGCAGTTCTTGAACTTAATTCTACATTCTGCATAGTGTAGGTAATTCCTTCTTTCCCCCTTCTTCTTTTTATTCCACTTTGAACAGTACATTTTCAGTGTAGGCTGTTTCTTTCTTTAAAAAAACCCCAATTAATTAGAATTTATACACCACTTAAATTAAAAATATATCTAAAAACGGTCTATGTAAAACAATTTACAATAATTTTTAAATATACAAATGAAATCACTAGAAACAAGAATGCATAACTTGTTTACCTCCAGGTAAGCTTGCCAAAACCAAAATGTTTTTTTTAGCAGGTATCTGGAACAGCACAACAAGGATGGCTGCCTAATGTTAATAAGCAGGGGCAGTTTCAGACCATTGGTGCTGCCACACTGAAAGCTCAGCTCCTTGCAGTTATGGAGTGAACATTGTCTAGTACTTGCAAGAGTTCAAGTTCCACAGATCAAAGTAGTCAAGCAAAGAGCAAGGCAAGGAAACTTCTCTCAAGGAAACTGCTCCCAAGGTGTTAAGGGCTTGATATGAGCAGAGGTGTAATATGCTGGTAGGATCTCACTCTTGTCAGGAATCACGTTACAGCATTCTGCAGCTTCTTGAACAACCACAAGAGATCCTCCACAGAGAGTGCACTTCAATAATCCCATATTGAAGTTACCAGTGTCTGAACTACAGCTATTCTGGTCTGCGAATGGATGCAGATATTGCATCAGTTGAAGCTACTGGAAGGCAGTCATAGCACAAAGGTCACATGGGCCTCTGGATCCAGAAGGGCCCCCAGATTGTGTGTCTTACTCTTTCAGAAGGAGTGAAATCCCACTCTGGGCTACTTCTTGGACACAAGAATTGCTTACCCACAGAGCCTCCATCTAGACGGGATTCAAACTCTATTTATTTATTTATTTATTTATTTATTTATTTATTTTCTTAAAATTTATACACCACTTGATTGTAAAAACACACACACCCTAAAAGCGATTTACAAAGAGAATAAAACTATAAAATTATCAGTAAAAATAATACTGCCCTCATCCAGACCACCACTGCAACCATTATGGAACCTGCATAGCCTCTTTTAATCACTTATTATGGAGAATTAACAACGAGCATAATTCCCAACACTCCTCTCCGGACACTGGACCCAAACCATGGAATTGACCTCGGTGTCATTTGACTCCTTCCTCCCTGTTCTGGGAGCAACGCTCACCCTACCAATCGGTAAAGTCTAATAAGGCTACAGTATACTATGGTCAATAGTGTCAACAGACATAGACAGGTCAAAAAGAAGGAACAAGATCACACTCCGTTTGTCCTGTTCTGAATAAAGGTCACCCATCAGGATGACCAATGTTGATTTATACACATGACCAGGCCTAAACCCAAACTGGAAGGGGTCTAGGTAATCAGTATCATTCTAAATAAACAGTATTATTTAAGAATGCTTACAGATGTCCTGCCATGACCCTCTACTCTACCTTCCCAAAGCAGAATTAAATTTTGAACGATATGGCTGGGGAAACCCAGCCAGATGGGCAGGGTATAAATAAAATTATTATTATTATTATTATTATTATTATTATTATTATTATTAATTTAGAGTATAGGTAATTTTGACAGCCCATAGGCACTAAGATTGAAAAAAAAATCTAAATCAAGTTTGAGGTGGGATATTGAATAGAAAGTTATTGCTTTCCTAAAAAACAGCAGCAGCAACTGAAGAAGGCAGGAGGGAATGAAATGCAATCCTTCTCTTTATTACATCTTGTTTACATTCTGTTCCCTGATCAGTCTTAAGCTGCTGTTTCAGTGCCATTTGTTTTGATTAACTCATATCGTCAGTCAGTCAGACTTAGTTGATATCAACTCTGTGAGCCTATCATGAATCAACATGACACCACATAGACAATCAGGTTTAACTGTGTGATGATGTCATTGAGGGCAAACATAACTATTTCAGAGTGTGGGCAAATGTTTCTAACCTTTACCTAGAATGCAAGGTGCTCTTAAAACCTTTGGTGAAAATGTCATCCTCTTTTCAGTGCAGCCCTACTTAAAACCATTCACAGAATCTAAAATAGTGCTGAAATCTGGGTATTTTTAGCTCCTTCCAAATTATTTATCAGGGAAATTATTGGTCATTTTCATACATTATATGATATGTCTACAAGGAGTTAATATATAGTTTCTAAAGAGCAGTAGGAATATAAGAACTACTCGGTCAACTTAGAAGGCTTCTAGCCATATCTCCCAGACATCTGGTATTAATCTGTCATTCTTTCATCTCACTCCCTTACACATTTTTCTCAAGATTGACACCTGGGATAATAGTAACAATCTTTTGTGTCTGCAAAAAACAGCTGTAAATGGAGTTATTCTTTTTTTAAAAAAAATCAAAGCTTGAATAAACATATTTTCACTTCTATGACATAATGTACACATATTTAGGAACGACCACACTTCACAAATACATTGCGTGGCATTGCATGCAATAACAGTGAATACAATGCCAACATAGCTTTTTGTACATTAGCCTTGCATCCCAAAAAACTTTTGCTACTGTATACAATAGTTCTGCTCCTCCCAGGGTACAATTCCACATGTTAACTTTTTGCAGATGCAAAAAGCACTTGCATGTTATAATACATTTGAAAACATGACAATATCCGGCGTAGATCAAGGATCACCAAGCCACTTACAGCAATCTGGCTGTAACCTGGCAAAATTGGGCAATCTCTTCTGCTGCCAGGGCACCATTGTTAGGAAGTCCTAGGAAGTCAGACCTCTGAACAATGATGTTGTACCAGAAAATGGGAAGAAATTACCCCATGAGGACATAAGCAATTTGAATCTCCACTGCAGTGCTGGGCTGAGTCGAAAGGGGAAGCACTCAATGTGGAGTACTGAGATTGCTTAGCACTTTAGCAGGAGGAAGGTCTGCACTGAGACCAGACCCTTTTGATTCCTCCTTCCCCCATTCTCAAGGAGCCTTTTGTCTGTGTGCTCTGAGTATGTGTGTGCAAGAATGCATGTGCTGTATATGTGCTCTGATATGTGTAGCCATGATGAAACCCCTGGGTGGTTTGAGTGGGTGACAATTTGGCTCTGGGACCAAAACAGGTCAGCCACCTTAGACTATGGTATATGAAAACCGAATACCTATGAAACTGGTATCCATTTCCATAGTGGGCTGGGGTTTTCATACCAAATTCAAACCATCAATTCACAGGCTAAATTGACCCCTGTATACCAGAGCTCTTCAATCTGAAAAATATAACGTGTAAAACACCCTTCAACAAAATAGCTTATTAATTTTTTTTCTCTTCCAACTCCAAGGATCTTCTGGTGGTTCCCTCATTGTGAGAAGTGAAGTTACAGGGAACCAGACAAAGGGCCTTCTTGATAGTGGCGCCCGCACTGTGGAACGCCCTCCCATCAGATGTCAAAGAGATAAATAATTATACAACCTTCCGTAGACACCTGAAGGCAGACCTGTATGGGAAAGCTTTTAATGTGTGACAATGTTCTGTTGTGTTTTTGTATATTCTGTTGGAAACCACCCAGAGCAGCTGGGGCAGCCCAGTCAGATGGATGGGGTACAAATTACTACTACTACTACTACTACTACTACATTTCTTTTTAACAATCCCAAAACTGAAAAAGTGTTTGGGAGTGAAGGGGGGAAGGGTGGGGGAGACAACTGCCATCAGATAGGACCTCTACTCATTAGCAGAAATAGTATGAAATATATTGTGTGGGATATAGGTTTTTAAGCAGATGTTGGTTTGCTGTCTGCCATGTACGATCTAGTTGAGATTCCTGCATTGCGGGGGATTGGACTAGATGACTCTTGGGAGTCCCTTCCAACTTGACAATTCTATGATTTGACACATGCCTCTTTAAAAACTGAACATGCCATGCACTTCCTAAGAAATCCTATTAGTAGAAGCAAAATTATACCAAAATGGTTCTAAGGACATAACATTATGCCTGCCACAATCATCTGTATATGATACATCATCATTGCTCAAATGCATTTTTCTTTGCTTCCATACCACATCATAAATGCATGCTGTGGGAATGAGAGCATAAGCCAATATATTATCAAACGTTGACTGCTTTCCTAAGGGTACTTAATCACAGTCATGACTAGAATAGCTGTCAGTTGTTGGGAACGGGAAGAAACCAACTAGAAACCAAACAGCTTGTGCCGTAAGGTGGAGCAATAACTGACATTTTCGTCGGAAATGAGTTATGACTGTAAGAGAGAAGGCTTCACAGTGGCGGTGTTGTAAATAGAGTCAGTGTGCCATTAGAGAAAGCTCATTAATACACACCTCTGCTTTCGGCTGCAAGATCAGTTAAACAAGCTACCTTTTATTTATAGACCTACAAGGGAAACACCAGGTCATATTGGCTGTTGACATCTCAGACAGCCTACAGATGGAAAACCTGAAATGTTTCATTCCCAAAACATTTATGGCTATCAATAGGAAGTCTTCTGTCTGCTCAAAATATCTAAGCTGTTTCTGAGCACTATGAAATGTTTTTTCTTCTTCCAAAGCAATTGCAAAACTTCCAATACACAATAAATATTAAAAGGCTAGGGTCTGCACACATTCTACTCCTCATACATACAGGAAAATGTGTGCATGAATAGTATTCAAAAGATTTTAAATATATATACACCACTGATGCGAATGCTAGAATCTCTTTTTTAAAAGGACATGAGCCACCCCCACCGCCAAGTCTGCAAACATAATATGTATGCATGTTAATACAATTTCACAGGACTCAACAGGCAGCTCATGTGGCTCAGATGTTTGCAAGACTATGTTGAGAGTCTGGAACAAAATATAAGTATGACTTGGAAACCCTCTATATCACCTAAGCCTTTGGATACATTTGTAAACAGCAAATTACAGAACAGCTTATTAATGACTGACTATCCAGTCTCCTGTAGACTTTTAATTCTTGTAATAAAACAACACAGCATATGTTTGTTTGCTTGATATTACTAATTTCAACTAGATGCACCCAAATCCCCTTTTCTCCTATTTAGCCATGGCAAGAAAAAAATGCTGCCTTTGGCATCTCTATAACTGCTCATGGAAGTATTCGTAAGAATGGGCCCTTAAAAAGTCATGTCTCCATTGTTACAAAAGTTTTGACACAAAACTTGGTAGAAGACTTACCAGCATGAATCAAAGGCTCTGCTTAAGATACAGGAACAGAATAGACTTATAAGTGTACACAAAGCTAACTAGCATTTGCTTGTCTCAGTTCTGTATACTCTAACTGAAAATAGTTCTACCAAGATTCTTTTCCAGCTCTGCTACCTGAGATCCTTGAACCATAGACGCACCTTTGAACCTGGGACTTCATCAAAACAATGCACATGTTCCACCACTCAGGTATGCCTCCCTTCTTGTGGAAGGAAAGTATGGACCTTCTACAAGGAAAATATCCAGCACATGCTCCTTTTAAAAGAACTTAACAGTTCTGAAATCTCTTCCCACCTCCTTCCCATTAATTTAAATCTGATTTGATTAAGAAAAGTTTCCAAAGTATTGTAACCGATATACCAAAGGCAAAATAAAGACAACAAAGGGAACAGAAAAAGAATAAAAATGGGCTGATTAGCATAGCACAACATCTTAAAAAGCCAAAATACCACATGTGTGGCATGTTACAAAAGAAAATTAAAATAAAGGAAAAGAATATCCAGAGAACCATGAAGTCCCAAAACATCTGGAGTTTTATTGCAGCAAGCAAGAGGGAAACCTAATTGAAAAAGGGCTGCTGCAATACTTTCTTATACAAGGAAGCTTGACAGAACTGAAGAAAGGGGCAAATGAAAGCAAACCAAGGGGGAAAGAGTAAGATGACCATATATCCTAGTATATGAAATTGGTTGCATGTCACTCGGCTGGTAGCTGCACTACAAAATTCAAAGAAGTGCATATTTGAAGCCTGTGTTTCAATTTTGGAAGGTATGAATTTGGTAAGTTTGCTTTTAAATGCAAACTCATTCTAAGTTAAAGAGAAATGTGTGTAAGAGAAATACAGTGGTGCCCCGCAAGACGAATGCCTCGCAAGACGAAAAACTCGCTAGACAAAAGGGTTTTCCGTTTTTTGAGTCGTTCCGCAAGACGAATTTCCCTATGGCTTGCTTTGCAAGACGAAACGTCTTGCGAGTTCTTGCGAGTTTGTTTCCTTTTTCTTAAAGCCGCTAATAGCCGCTAATAGCCGTGCTTCACAAGACGAAAAAACCGCAAGACGAAGAGACTCGCGGAACGGATTAATTTCGTCTTGCGAGGCACCACTGTAAAGCTGGGATGCATATAAGGTGTGGGCACCTTTTGAGAAGAAACGGAGGAATATAAACATGACAAAAAATTAAATGAGTGTGGACACAGATATGATTTCCGCATAAATTTGAACAGGAGGTCAGGCAAACTCCTCCTGTAGTGAGCTTTACATTTGCAATATTCTTACAATGTCTATGCTATCCAATATGTTTTTCTGGAAAATACTGAACTGAAGAAGTTCAATAATTTTCTGCCTCTATACAGTGTCTTTCTGTGAATCTGATTCCACAGGTGTCAGACAAGGTTTAATGGTTTTCTTCAAAATAGAATCTGTTTTATGCAAGTAGCTGTGTTTACATTCCTGTCTCCACTGCCTTCTTCAAAGGCCCCATTTCTTCCCATACACTATTCTCCATTCATTTCTCTGTGCAAAAGGGACTTTGTCATTTCTGAAATAATAAAATCTGTATCCTCTGGAGAAATACCAAAAAAAGTGTACCTACACAATGTCGAATACTGGATGAAACTTCTATAGCATGGCATATGGGAAACAATTGCTTCAGTCCAAATGTCCTCTTGAGCAAGTGGAGAGCACTCCTGCTTTTTCCCTCTTCCATCTTATAGCCCACCAAACATTCTCTAGAGATTTTGGGCCCTTTGAAAGCCTTCTAGAACTGTTTTTCAAGGAACATGGAAATGCCCCCCCCCATATGATTACAAGGTCATTTTGTTTCCACAGCAGAACCTATGGATTCTTATCTTCATCTCAGAACTCTCAGTTCGTCAGTGTAGCTATACTTTTTTTCTTTTTCGAAACAGAATTAATTCTTCAAAGGGTCACACAGTACTGGCAAGCTATTCTTACTCTGGAACAGGGCCTGCCTGTCTTAACATTATTACAGTGTTACTTTTTAACACCTATTCTCCAACTACATCTATTCATTTTTAACTGCAATTTTTCCTAGGGTCCATCTACACTATACATTTAATGCAGTATCACACCACTTTAAACAGTCATGGCTCTTCCCCCCCCAAAGGATCATGGGAGCTGTAGTTCATTAATTGGGCTGTGAGTTGTTAAAAGACCCCTATTCCTCTCAGAGAGCTGCAATTCACAGAATTGTTTCAATAGTAATGCCTATTCCTAGGGAACTCTGAATATTTCTGCCTGTCATAGAAAGCAGAAAGTGATGAAGAACAGCTTTTTAATAAATGTGGGAGGAACTACAAGAGGGTTTGGAGATACTGAGGACATGGCAGCATAAAGAAGTTATATTCAGTTCTGAATAGATGTCATAAAGATAAAGTGAAAATACATTGCCACTGAAAACCGAACTGAAGTTCTCCTCCATCGCTTGTGGTAGAGCAATGAGAGCTGGTTACCACCAAATGTTCAAGTCCTGTTGTTGTCAATCCCAGCTGTCTCTCACCACATGTTGCTTAAAAATGGCCTGTCTGCAGCGAGCAACTACCGCTTGACCAAGCTACTTTGACATGACATGCAAATTTCCCCAACGCTCCTCCACGTTCCCTTGAGCTGTTGGAAAGGACTATAAAAATTAATCACATATTAAGTACTTGCAAATGTAATGAGCTGGATCCGTATCACTCAGCGCAGTATGGCCTGATCAGGTGGCTTCCCAATGACACCCATGACCTATGGTTCCCCATTAAGGATAACAGTGAAACTCTGGAGCAGTGTTGAGGAAACTCATATGTCTCATGTGAGCACTTGTAAATATGTGCCCCCCCAAAAAAAGATGCAGAAAAACAGATGCCACTTTTGCAGGTTGAAAACATTTTGAGAACTTATGGGACAGGTTTCAGCACAGCATTAAACAATTTCAGAATCATGCTGACTGCCTACAGAGTGAAAGGGAGAAAGGGCAGATCTCCTGGATGTTGTTCCTCAGCTTCCTACAGTCCCACAAGTCCATGGTGATTTCTTGTGATGAACTGCATTACATGTGTGCCACATTTCCAAAGAGCAGAGCCAGATGACATTCTTGGAATTTTTCAGAAATGGTGTTTCTAGGTATAGTAACGGCTGTACAATATGTTCAAATGTGGCAGGTTTCACATTGGAAGCATCTCACATTTCGTATGCAGCTCTAAAAATATCTGCCTAATTGCAAAGTTTTCCAAGATCATATTAGAGAAAAACTGGAAATGTAACCCAACGGAAATAGGTTTTAAATTGAAATGTTGAACATCAGCCCAGAAATGACAAAAAAAATTAGTGTGCTTTTCTCTGGCCCTTCTTTCCCCATGTCTTAAGTGTTCACAATGTACTATGCTTTTTTTATATGAAAAGAGTGAACTTACATTATTGTCATATATGATTATGTAATATTTGGTGAGGAGGAATCATTGACGTTTTCATGGTCCTTTTACCTCTATTCCACAACCTAGCAGCAAACCACAATCACTTCTATATCTTCTATGAAGGCTTTTGCAACAGAAAGTGCTTCAGACTTGCATACAAGATGCTTTTGACATGTGCATTTAATCTAACCAGTTTAAGAAACGTCCCGTGTCCACCACTAAAGAACTAAAAATGTAAATTGAAAAAAATTATATCCATATGATTAAGTAAAAGCCTTAAAGAGAACCATGTTGTTAAGTGCTTCATTGAGAAGAAATAAAATGCAGTAAAATAGAAGCTCTTTCGGAATAAATCACCCATGCACATACTTTCTATGCAAAAATTGCAGCGTTTGGCTCTGTAGGGACATCTGGAACAAATTAGCATGATGTTAAGAATAATGTCAAATTAAAACATTTAGTTATGGCTTCTAAAATTAAATATAAAACTCAGAGACTGACGTTGAACTGGATACCTTAACTCATTTTTTCAACAGAAATTGACTTTTTGTCCTGATTTGTTCACAATACTTTTAAGTGTATTTATAAGGGCAACAGCTTTAATATTAAGTATTATCGCTGTGTGTAACTCTGGGAATCTTGCAAACGAATGAGTTATTGGAATTATGATTGTCAAAGTTTCAAATAAGCCAAAGTACCCTGGATATAAGTAATGACATGCATGCATATATGAACTGAGTCAGAGCTGGAACTGGATAAAACCCAAACCATAAAGGTAATTGATACAGATTACCCCAGATAATTGTTTACTCACTACTACATTTCTGACTCTACTTTCTGGGTTTATTTGAGAAGAAAAACTTAAGTTTAAGCAACGCTGACAAAGCTAGGCTCTTGGATTACATCCTCACCTTACAAAAATGTTCAGTAAGCTGGGAAGTCCCTGATTCAGATACACATACACATAACCCAAATCATTAGGCAAGCCTCAATCATTCTCTCAGCTTCAAACCCCCATTTATATGGGATAATGGTCTGGAGAGTCTGCAACTGAGCTGTGATCCAAGGCACATGATACAGCAACCTTGCTGAAGCTAAGTGGGTATTGGTCTGGACAGTGCCTGGGTTAGGAGATTGGCAATAAGTCTTCCTCCACTCCCATTAGTGGTATCTGGTATGCTGTATATTCATGAAGCATACCAGTCATTGGAGGGAATTGATGGAGGACTCTGCCTTTTTTTCCTTCTTCCACTTGTCAGGGATTGGTACTGGAGGATCAGCATGGGTGGGATGGTAGGAATTTTGGGTATCAGTTGGAGGAATAGTTGGTGGATTTGGTTGAGGTACAGGAGGTTTGGATGGGAAGGGGTAGAAAGAAAATAATTCTCCAGTGGTCTGTGAAATCAGACCTGGAAAAGTACTAAGCATTTGTCATTCACTTCGTATTGGAAGTGGTCATTACAAATCCCCAGAACTCTCCATCTCCATAGATCTCCCAACCGTCCTGTGGAAAGGAAGAAGAGAGCAAAGGCAACATCAGGACCTGCTTCAATTCAACTGTCTCCTCAATGACCTTCATAGAGCCAACGACCCTCTGGAATGGATGCCAGCTCCTGCTCCTATGGGGCTGGCTTTTTTGAGCACACGACTTGGTGTATCTGCCGTGTTTAGCCACTCTGAGAACTCTAGTTGAAAGGTGAGATGTAACCAGAGCATTGGGAACATTGGGAAGTGGCAGGGGAGGCTGGACAGGGAAGAGGGGATAAGCAAAAACCACCTCCCTTCCTCCAGTAAGAGTCTCCACTGCATAGCCTTTTCCTCAAATTGATGGAACCCTTCCATTCATTGCAAGGACACTGGATCCAAGGCATTTTTAATTGCGCAATTGCTCTCTGGTGACAGATGTTGAAAAACACCTCTAACAAGGGACAATGCTGGGCAGGGTTTTATGGTTTTATTGTATCCCAAGTATTGCAAAATTATGCCCTTAATGTGCTGTGCAACCTTAAACCACATTAAACTTCCAAAGCTTAGTTGCACTCCAGTTTTTTCTTCTTAATTGGCTTCATCATTGTCTACAATACTTTCGAGAAATGTAGGAAGAGCAGTTTTGATTGTTGTTGTTTTGAAAAGAACAGATGCCTTACAGGGTTTAATTTGCTTAGTCATAATGGCCATTTACATGACCACAATGGGCTCTTTGTAAAGAGAAACAAAACCTTCACATAATTCAGCAAGTAATTATGATACTTCCCATCCGCTACTATCAATATTCTTCAAAAAACAACACACACCCAAACATTTTATGCCCCTCCATCCTTTCCCACAAAGCCAAAAACTAAGCTTTCCTATTGCCAAACTCATCCAGCTGCAGCCTACGTTTGCTTGAAGACATGCAGTCAATGTTCCACAGCAAGAATGATACATAATACACAGAGGTCACTCTGTCCTATTCTTCTTCATGATGAAACCTCAACATCAGGTCCCTGTGCCAAGGCAATCACTTTATTTAACTATCAATGATTTCATTTGAATGATGCAATCCCAGTTAAATGTTAGCATCACTGCTGAACATGAAACGTCAAGTTTTTCTTCTAACAATGTGGCCTCTCCAGAATTAAATCGTGCATTTTCTGGAGAAGAGGACTGAGATGTGCAAAAATGGTTTCCCTACAAACATGCATAATGTAGGTGTCTGAACCGGCAAGACAGAGACAAAGAAAAAGAGTTCTACATATCCTAAATAAATCATTTCCCCTGGATACAATGTTTTGGGCTGCTATCCAAATAAACAAAGGAAACTGAGGGCAAAATAAAGGTAGAAAAGTATAGTGATTAGACTCACTATAGTGACTCAGATTCACGTCTCCAATAAGTCATAAAGCATTTTGGGTAAACTTTCTGTCAGTCCAATCTACCTCACAGGGTTGTTAAGAGGATAAAATAGGGGATAAAATGTTATATAAAACAATAACTAAATAAAAGTTTCAACTGGAAAGATGCTCAAGTGCTAATATTATAAGCACTGATATAGGTTTATAAGACACAGCTAGCAAGAAAACAGCTTAACATTTGGACTAATACGTCAAGTTATATTGTTCTACAGATCAATCTTAAAGAAGAGGGCAAAGGAAGCAAATACATGCAATGTGGAACCTCAGACCTGGTTTAGAAATGAAATCTAGAAACATGGTGGGTGGAATATGCATCGTATACTTGTCTGTCCGTTGGTGTGAAATGTGCATGCATGCATGCACCCACAAGTTGAATACTGATAACTTTTTAAAAAATTCACCATAACTTAAACAAAAAACAAAAAACCCCAACCATGACTAATCCATAATTTTCCCTCAGAATGTACCATGACAAAATCACAGCCCTTAAACAAGAGTGCAGCCTGCGGGCACTTCGGGTTAAAGAAAACCATGGAGAACAAAAGCTAAGAGGACAAATACAACCACAAAGGATTCTGCTATCAGATTGCAGCATTCTTCTCTGGGCATTCACTCCCAAAAGCCACATGCCTCAAACTAGTGTGGAAAATGGGTGTACAAGAAATAGTTCATCATATATGGGCAGAGTGTGAGCTTTTATGTTGTATGTCTTGCGCACCACTAAAAAGGAAGGTCTCTTAGGAAAACAGGGCAAGGACCATCTGTGTTTCTGCTTAATGTTACTGCTATCAGTGATGAGCTAAGATCTGAAGTAGTGAGCCCCCATGAACCCGGAGTATTAAGCTCTACGCCCGTGATTTTCTCATCAGAGAATCATAGGGGCATCTAATCCAATCCCCTGTGATGTAGGAATCACAACAAAAGAATGGATGTCTTTTTATTGACTTACTATGGAGCCATCTTCCAGATAAGCTGGAGAGAGAAGTTGCAAAACTGGAAGAGAGAGAGAAACCACCACCACTCGCTTTATCCCAAATCTTGGGGCCATGGCTGAGGAAGCCCTGTCCCTTGCGCCCACCAGCCTAGACTCCTTTCCTGGTGGGACACAGAAGCAGGGCAGATGATAGAAAAAAGGAAAAACACTCCAGCTGAAATATTTTTCAATATGGCTTTGTCCAGTACGTGGATTCTTCTTTGCAGCATCATGTGAATACACAAGGGTGTATGCAGGAACCTTCATGTACTCAACCAGTGTTTAGCAACAACGACTAATTTACTGGTGTAGACCCAACCTCTGGACACCAGTATTGTTACAGCTGGACAGTGCTGGGGTGAAGCAGAATGGTTGAGAGGCAGATGCACCAGGGGGAGCACTGGATTGGCTCCATTGGTTCACCTGTGTAGACCAAACTCATCACCACCCTATCCTACTCCAGCTCTTGTCCAGGTAAGCTGGACCAATGCTGGTGTTGGGAAGGTAGCTCTGCAGGTCTGCCTCACTCCTACTAATGGAGCCAATTGGGTCTGAGTTAGAACAGTGTCTGAGTTAGGAAAGTGAAGAAAGATAAAGAGTAGTATTCAACCATGTTTTACCGAAACTAGACCCATTAAAATTAACAAACATGACTAGGATAGGTCCATTGATTTCACCAAGTCTACTCTGAATAAAACTTGGTCGAAAACTACCCAAAGTAAATTTAAAAGGGATGAAAATTTATACAAAGTTATTTACAGTGGTACCTCGGGTTACATACACTTCAGGTTACATACACTTCAGGTTACAGACTCCACTAACCCAGAAATATTACCTCGGGTTAAGAACTTTGCTTCAGGATGAGAACAGAAATTGTGCTCCGGTGGCGCGGCAGCAGTGGGAGGCCCCATTAGCTAAAGTGGTGCTTCAGGTTAAGAACAGTTTCAGGTTAAGAACGGACCTTCAGAACGAATTAAGTACTTAACCCGAGGTACCACTGTATTCAAATATTTACAACCCACACTTTCACAGGAAAATGTGCTGTACAACATAGAAACACACGACTACTATAATGACAGCTGTAAAAATATCAATTGCATATTGGCTGGTTAAAAAATAATAATCAGGTTTCAAAGGCCTGGCTAAAGTCACCTCTGCTCTTGTATATGCTTTGCAAAATGCAGCATGGGCAAAGAGTCTCTAAAAATAGAAGCTATTTGAAATAACCCCATCTTGATTTCGAAAGGCAAAAAGAACATTCCACAGTCATTCTAGCCCTGCTGTGATGGGAGCGTGTAATGATACTTCACAGCAGATCAGAAAGGTCTCAGGGTCATGTCTGATGACATGTGGAATCAAAATTCTGTCTGAATTAAATAACCTCCACCTTACTCCGGAGTAAACGGAGTTATTCTACAGAATGCTCACTGTCATACAACAAAGCTGAATGAATGCTCAATAAATACCAGATATAACTTCCACATAAGCTTTGTGCAAGCAAATCAAGATGAATACTCTATAAAAAGGTCATCTGGAGGAGCAATGAAAGTCTAGAAATCGACTGTCATTCATCGTAGCAGAAACAATACTGAAGCTACATCATCTGATTCAGTATATGGCACACAGTAACTTCTTACGTTCTTAACAAAACTCATTGGGAAAACTCAAAACTCACTGGGAAAATTGGAAAGCAGCTGGTTAATAAATCTGTCTTGCAGCAATTGGTTCTATCTTAACTGAGCCTAGATAGCTCAGTAGGTTAAAGTGTGGCGCTGATAACACCAAGATTGCATTTTCGATCCCTGTATGGGACAGCTGCATATTTCTGCATTGCAGGGATGCAGAATTGATCACGATCGAATGGTCAATCGTGGAGGTGGCCCCGGTCGATCGTGGCAACAAGTTTAGTGATTGCCTTAGTTAAAAGCTCAACAACTCCTGGCAATGAAAATGGGTAGATCACTGTCAGTATTTTTACACTGTGAGTAGATCACAGTCTCTTGGGAGTTGGACATGCCTGGATTAGATGATTCTCATTCAAGCGGAATATATATCAGGAGCCTGTACTTTTAATTGTTATGCAGAAAAGAAGGTTTTAGAAGCCTGTTCTCTCACAGCTGGTCGTTCAAGTTAGACTATGACCAGGGAGTCTGGGGTTCTAGGCTCCAGCCATAACATGGTTGTTGTGAGGGCGGAAAATGGGGAGAGGAAGAACCATGTTCGCCACCCAGATCTCCTTGCAGGAAAAATGGGATATAAATATAATGAATAAATACAATATAACTGTAATGGAGAAGCTGCATCTACTGAAAATCTTGTATGTGTGCTATGGACACAAAAGTACTACCTTGGGTTAATGCATTAAACCTAATGGTTGTCATTTCAGTTGGCTCAACTATTGCTAAGTAGGTAGGTAGATGACCTTCCTAAGAAAAAGAACTATTTATTCCTGGTATATACTGGTAAAACAGAGCCCCTCACACAACATGGAAGAAATAATTTTCCAGAAAATGAAAAATACCTCAAAATTAATACAAATATTAATTGTACCTACAATCAGGAATGTTGTTTATATTGTCCACTCTGGAGAACAAAAGCCCACACTAGTGTTTATATTATTTTTGGAAGGGAGCTAGGAGGAATAACAATACCACTTCAGACAGAAATTTACTTGCAGCAATCCAGTTAAACACATGCTCACCAGGCAGTGCTCAGGCACACATAGTTCTGCATAGATAAGTGGTGATAGCTGTGATTGGCTGTTTGGGAAGAGAGTGGATGGTTTAAATTCAACCCCCTGATATCTTTCCAAAGAACTCATTAATGCCCTTTCCAATTATATGTTTGCAATTCCAGGTGTGCAGCTAAATCTAGCCAAGAACTACGTACACAGCACCTGTTTGCATGCGTGGTCCTTCAGTCAGGGATAGGAACATGGAATCCAGAACCTGCATGTGTATGTTCCCTATCCATATGAATACAGTCCACAGATTACAGATGACGATAGCCACTAGAATTTGCTTTGCAAGTCTAACCAGAAAAAAAGAAATGTTTCCAGCACATACAATGTTGACACAGATGTCCCAGATGTAAGCCCACTCTGGTTATTTATCTGATCATCTAAATACAACTACAAACAAATAAACATTGGAGCTATCTCTTTGTC